CAACAACTGTTGTAATCTCTCCTGTTTATTTTGCTGTTCAAGCTGCCATTGTTGTAGGTTTTCTTGCCACTGCTGTAATCTTTCTTCTTGTTTCTTTTCTTTTTCCTCTAACAACTGCTGTAATCTCTCTTCTTGTTTAATTTTTCGTTCTTCTTGTTTCTTTTGCTGTTCTTGTATTGCTGCCATCAAATCTGCTAAACTGTAGTTTGATTTGCCGTTTCTCGTTTCCATTTTTTTCTTTTTTCTTTTCCGTCCCACTTTCTGACATCAATTTGTTACGCCTCCGTTCGTTAGTTAATTTTCCGTAAAATTTCTTTCCGAAGAAACTTTAGCGATACAAGTCTTTTCTTAAATAAAACTGGTTTATTCTTTCTGAATACAACTTTGCAATATACTTAATTTTCACATTCACGCTATAACAAACGCTATAATTCACAACGAACGCCTCGACTCAACAATATGTCTCTCTCTGTCCGCAGTTCAATTACCCATTGTTGCCATCACGTCTTGACCGTCTTAAAAGTACAAGAATACCGAAATCTAGTAAACTCCCGAGACTTCAGGAAGGAACGTGAACGTTCTAGAAGTTCATGACGTGTTACTAGCGTCACATGACTTCCGCTGTCGTAACAATAGTAAAGCGCAAGAGCACAGAGACGTGTCCGATTAAGTCAATCATATGCGCATATCTTTCTGTATGTTTTACGTCACAGGAGAAAGGACGAAGTGAAAATGGCGTCTAATAAAACCTGCCATTATAAAAACGATAATATTAATATTTAATTGAAAAGTATAATAAACTATTTTATATGTCATGTATCGCTGTTTTAGCACCAATTTAGTGTTTTTACTTGCTGTTGTGTCAAACCGGAGTTCCTCTCTAAGGGTGCTTATCTTAAATCATAACGCTTATATGCAGTGTTTTCATAAGTAATCTTAAAACATTTTAAAACATTATTACGTATTCTATTACATATATCAAAAGTTCGAAATAATGAAAAAAATCAATAAAAAGTGTTATAGTTAAAATTTAATGCATCATAAAAGAACCATAATAATGTTAGAATATGCAAAATTAAGTTGATTAAACAACAACAAAATATCCCTAGGTTATTTCTATTCCATTGTTTGTAAACGAAACTTTTGTCAGATTTAGTGTTATAATAAAAGGTCAAGAGTGAAATAATTTTTCTTTTAAATAATCATATTTTAATACATTAACTCATTCAATAAAATGTTTAGTGTATCTTAATGTGCCATATATATAATTTTCATTATATGCTACCGAACTTTGGATAAGAAAAATGAAATAAAAACATAAGAAGTTCTAAGGATACGATTATAACATATGTTATGTAATGAAAACTGTTAGAAAAACATATGAAACCTCCATTCACGAAAATGCGCAAGATGACAATCTACTGCAATATAGCTGCTGCCATCTATGTTCAGACAATTTATTCAATTGCGTCGAATATTACATTTATGCTTAAGTTTTTGCGATTGATAACACAGAATTTATACTGAATTTATTTTCCCAACTTGATCTTAATATTAAATGAAGAATTATTCTTAATTAAACACTAATATTTCATTGTATTCCATAATGATAGTAAAAAATCTGGATCTGGGGTAAGAAGGTGAGCATCAAGTGGATCAGCTTTATTGGCACAAATATAGTAGTTGAAGTTGAACGAACGCCTGAGCTTACAAGAGTAGTTTATCGTAGGAACTTGTGTCTAGACGGGCATAATATTTTCACCCCAAGTTACAGTTTAACATTGTTTTTGAATGAATGTGTAGGGAAAAAAGTAGACCTAAAACTTGAACGCAATTACCATAATGAAATAAATATTGTTGCGTATCTACTTGTTTGTTAATTTCTCGTAGAAATTCTTTTCGAGAAACTTCAGCGATACAAATCTTTTCTTGATTAAAACTAGTTTATTCTTTCTCGATACAAACTTTGTAATACACAGAATTTCCACAGTCAATACATTCCTCGTCGCTTTAAACTTAACGACTTTTATAAACACACGCTATAATCACAGCGATTCACAAGCTCGATAACTTCGCTCTATGCGACTGCAAAACTACAGAAACAGAATCGACTTACCGTGACTCGATTATCAATCTATCTCTGGCTTTCTTTGCTATGCTTATATATTAAAAAAGAGGGCATCTCGATCAGACTAGAGTTGCCGGGCAAATTCATGATCCTTCGAGAAACTCCAGCGCGCATGCTCCCAGCGTCACGTGACTTCCGCTGTCGTAACAGTATTTTATATACAACATAACACCCGAACAACAAGGTAGTCGGGCTATTTGATCCTTCAAAGCTGTTCTTACACCCCCACTCTTGAGAAAGTTAAAGACGTAAACATGTTTTCTGTTTTTAAGGAAATCAATTATTCTCATCTCAAACTCTTTTAAGATGCTAGAATCTACTGTTCATTTCATAAGCCAATAATCTTCTTCGAAAAATAAAATTAACTTAAGTTGAACCTAACTTGTCTTTTCTATATCTTTAACTTGTGTTCTCTCATCGAACTGCTCTCAGAATATAGCACAAAGAAATCAGCAGTGTTTAGCCTATCGACCCCTCAGAGAATTTTATAACTTAGCAAGATCAGTTCTGACCCTTATTTTCCCAAGACAAAATATATTAAAAAATATAATTATCACGACCACCTACTTCTCTCAGATAAGAATCATTTTCCAAGTTTTAATACAATTCTGCTTATTTGCCAAAACTGTCCAGATTTGTAACGTAATTAAAGAATTATTGTTTCACGAAATCGGCCTTTAAAAACACAGTAGTATTTAAAATAAACTCTACAATATAATATATGAATATATCGTTATTCATATTTTGTTGTTTTTTAAACACTTTGGTGTAAATTTCTAAAAAGAATAGGATGTGTCCAACCTAGAATTTGTTAATCTTGCCCTTAGGATCGTCTCAACCATTGGATCACTAAGCTCAAGACATGCCTATCCTGCCCACCTTGCTTGCTTACTGGATAATTCGTTGAATGGGTCTCAAAAGGTTATCTAGCATGTTGGTTGTACACGAAACTCTCTTTTTTTGTTCATGGGACTTGTCTAGTGACGTGGTTGATGAAGAATTTGGAGATGTCTTACTGAATCATAGAATTGTAATATTCTTCTAAGTAAATAATGTTTTTACTCAAAATTCGTATAATGTTACTCCGATTTGTGTGACATTTATCATGGTTCTCGTGTGTGTGAAGTAGTCTCATTTCAGTTACTAAGAAGCTGTTGTACAGGAATATCTTTGTCAGTTCTGGGCATATTTTTTACATTCCATACTTACTTTGTTCGGTAAAATCACGTGTTTGTAAGATAAACATTTCCGTCCAGTCTCATTCATTCTTGATCAAATTTGACTTATTTTACATTCTGCATATAAAGCCTCTAGAATCTCTTTCTTTATGGTTTTGATATTTTGACTATTGGATCCACTTTTGCCTGAAAAAACAGCATAAAACTCATTTACGAATGTTACTGTGAAATATTCGATACAAGTAATAAAGAATAAAGGTCTTCTAAACAAACCTCTTAGGAACCTAACTAGTCACATTCTCATAATTTGGAAAATACCCATTTAGCATTATCCAAAATGGCCTACTTTGAAGTAAATATCCAATTTTTGACTTCAAATGAAGAATAAGTGATGTGTGGGAGATTCTTTACACGCAGTTATATGTCTATTTTCATTTGTTTTAGATAATGCACACAAATATTCTTTTGACCAGCTCAGGTTTGTGAACATTTTGTTGGCTTGCTATAAAAAAACAGCAAGTTGTAAATTTAATATACGTAGTCTGAGCATACAAGTTACATAGTAAATCTATCAAACAATGTTGGATTGGTTGATGATTTTAGGATATTTGAGAGAATATTTTGTTTTCAGTGTCTGCAGTTATTTAGTTTAAAACTGGTGGGATGTATTTCCTAGTGTATTAGCTTTATTCAAAGGAGATGATTAACAAACCGTTTCTTTATCAACTCTTCAATTATCTGTTGATGATAATTTTAAGCTATTATCACCAAAAAACAAGAAGACACATCCAAAACTATACTCAGTAAAACTTGTTACAAATTTTTTATTTCAATAAAAATAATATCATCAGAAAAAGATTCAAATCTGGTATAAACAGTTCTGTAGTGTGATCACAAGGTATAAAAGTGATATTAAGTCATGCAGATTTTCAGCTGAGAAGTTACTCTAGAATAAACAAAAACAATCCAGTCCAGTCACCCAGTAAGAGATATAAAATGTTAGGACAAATAGCAAAATTTTATTTATTTGTTAGAATGTAAGTTGGAAAAACAAAATTCTGTTTTAACTGAGGTTAGATATATATTTTTGTAATTTTTTGATTTTTTTAAAATTAAACTGCCACCTCTATAACGTATACTAATAGCTTATGAACTTCTGTGAAGAATTTATAATGGAAAATCAAACTAAAAATGTTAATTAAGTTAAAATTTGATAGCCTATATAATTATTAATACTGTTTTCCACAATTTTTAATTACATTTATGTTATGCAAAAGAAAAAGATGCACTTACAATGAACCCGCCAGTTCTTGTAATTTGCTTGTGCTTAAAGTGGCTTAGTGGCACCCAGTTATAAATATTATTGCTGCTAGTGACTATAATATTCTCTGAACATGTATTATTCAAAGTAATTACTTGTTTACTGAGTTAGTATCCTAACATTCGTAACTTACAGTCCTGAATGTACAAAATTTCAGGTTTAATTGGTTTATTAGGATGGAACTGACAGAACCCTTCAGTCACTTTACTCAACCTTTAAAACTCATAGTCAGTGTGGTGGTGGTTTGCTGGCAGTTATTTAGATTTAAAAATAATTATTTCCGAAGGAAATAATTATTAATCTGGGGTGCTCGAAGATTAAACAATCCTCCTTCACCCCGCTCGGTGTAAAAGGTTACATGACGTTTAGAGGTCAGCGGATTACTGAGCCGAATGGGCTAAGGGTAATTAAGTAAACAAAAGAAGAGAATTAAGAATTAAAAAAAGTGAAGCAGAGTACCTTAAGGCTAGACAAAACATAAACCATAAAACGGCCGATATCGGACAGATGGTCCATAGTCAGTGTTCTGCCATTTCGATAGGTTTGTACTAAGATCTTTTATAAACAAATATGGTTATATAATTAAAAACTGCTTTGCCACTGCCACAGTAAGCAACAATGTACTCTATCTAAAGATATTTCATAAGGCCTAGAAAAAGATACTTTGTTTCCTATTACATGTTGAAAAAAATTGGGTAGGTAGATAATCATTTCTTTCATTTTTTTACGTCTTTGAAATAGTGTAGGTAGGCGGAGTATTGGGCTGATTGGATTTTGTCGTAGTATCCTTTGCTCTACTGGTACTCTCAACTTCCGCGGGCATTTTGGTTTAGGCCAGTAGTGAAATTCAATTGATTTGACCCCGAACGTGTCTACAATTAGGTCTTTACATTTGTCCATGGAAATTTGGTCCAGATCAATATGTGTTGATGTCTGCTTATAATCATTCGAATCTAGTTTAGGATGGTATGACTCGAACACGTCTTTGACTGCTCCAGTAAACTGTGACACTGTCTGCATGCCGGCATTTGTTAAAGACGACAGCCAATATTCTCGCCACCACGATGAAATGTTTGACATTGCCTGAATGGGAGCTCAGCTATAATTGGCTGAAAGCGTTGACACACCACACCAACTAATGATTTAAAGACGTGGTTTCTTATTATCTTCACCTTGCACAATATGGTAGTAAATTTGTTCAATAATTTAATGAAAATAAAAAAATAAGAATAATCGAAGAACTTTTTCATTATTTCCGGTCTGGGGATGAATTCTTTTGGGAGGGTAGCGTTGAAAAAACTTTAAGGTCGGGCATTTTTACGTACGGTTGATCGAGTAACCGGAAACAAAGCATATTTCCTAGGCCTTATGCATCTTTTTGAGGTAAATTTTACACAGCTCAGTTGTCTTGAGTGAAAATTTTCTGATTTCAAACAAAGTAAAATCAGGCTGTAATTTTGAAGACAAAAATAAAGAAACACGTTTCAAATGACTTTACTAAATTATGTAGTTTGCTTCAACAAATTATGTCATAAAGTGTTTTGTTTCAAATGACTTTACTAAAATATATAGTTTGCTTTAACAAATTATGTCATAAAGTGTTTTGTTTTGCTGATAAATTATTTTCACCAACTAATTTAAAATAACCCGCCAAAGAACAGCGTTACAACAATTATTATAACTCCTCGCAGTCTGAAGCTGAGAAACGATTCAAGTACGATGAAAGGCTTACTTGAATTGGAATATATCTCCATAATCCGATAGAGATCTATAAAATTATGTCGAAATATTAATTATCTGTATCACTTCTGTGTCAGGGTTACTAGTCAATTGATACCTGCGAAACTAAAAATATATTTAATTTTTAAATCTTACTTTGATTTATGCTACTAGTTCTATTGATTCGGGCCATAGCCAACTGTACAAGGACCTCGTAGCGTTAAATAAAAAGTGGTAGATATTTGGCCGTAAAAACTTGAACACCTGACTTATGAGCCTGGCCATAACGTTGGAAAAAATCTTCTTTTGTAGGTCGATGTTTAAATCGTGTACGACAAATGAAATCGAATATGTATGTAGAATACGTACGTTTTAACGAAGTAATACTTGGTATACAGTAACTTAACTTTTAGCGTTAAGTTCCACTCGTTGGTTTTAATTATGTATATCTTGACGATAAATATATAAAATAAATCAATTAAGAAAAATAAATATACCGCCATTTGCTGTGCGTGATTTAACATCAATCTGAATTTTCGTTTTCTCAAGAGTTATTGCGACCTCTAATATAAATTTTGTTTTGAGTCTGTACTAACGAAAAAGTAAGTAATTTGTATGAAGTCGTGAAACATTAGAATTAAATGAAAGAGATATAAATATTTGTACGAACTCGTGAGTCATAAGAAATACAAAATACGTAGATTATATGAAGTTGTGGATAATAAGAAATAAACAAGTTTATATAATTGAATAAATTCCAAATTTGTTCAGTAAAAGATTTTATTCAACTTTACTTAAAAAATTCGTTGTTATAATTTACAGAGAACTAGAAGTAAAAACATATCACCGGGTATAGTTGAGAAAAAATACGAGATTAGTAAAAACATTTGAAAAACAACTTTAAGAATGAATATCCATCATCGTTAGAGCAATCTATTAGAACTGCAATGTCTATTTTAAAGATGGGTAAAAGTTAGTAAGTTCAATAATTTTGAAGCATTTTAAAGTATAGAACGGAAATATTACAAATAATTTGTTTCTGATCTGGATTATTGAATTTGCCAAGTTTCTGTTAACTTATGTCTATTTTTATTAGTGGTACCTATAGTTACAAACAGATGGCGATAAGCGAAAGAGAGAGAGAGAGAGAGAGAGTTGGGCTCAAAATTTTCAATACAATAATAATTTAAGTCACAAAATTCTTTAGGATTGAGTTCAAAAATGTTATTGAAAGTAATTGGCATGAGCAAAAAAGAGCCCTTCTTATGTTATTTACACTGAAAAAACGAGAATATCATGTTCATGAAAAACCAACCGTTCTCATGTTGGAAGCTTGGGAAAGATCCGAGACGGGGTAAAAATAACATCTAATTTGTCTTCTCACCACCTAGGTTATATAATAGGACTCAGTATTATTTTCTTTAATTTCTCTGCTTTAGTGTTCTTATAACATTATCCTTTATACATAACTACGTTTTGATAATAAAAAGTAAATTATTTACAGACTGGGATGAAAGTAAATTTGATACTGAACTTTCTTTTTTCTCTCTCACTGGTTATGGTGTACAAAAGAAAGAACAAAAACTTTTCACCTTAGTTAAAAAGATAGCACCTAAATTGTCCACACCTGAACCTTCTCTGCTATTATGCACCAGTTGGCATGGTCGTAGTAAGACGAGATAATGTGTAGATCGTCTACGTATTTTTCAATGAGAGATTCTAGTTCACCCTGGCGAAACACATGGTAATATCGGTGATACGTCATAACATTACCTTCTTCGTTGTCTTGTAAACTCTTCTGAGAATTTGACTTAAACAGTAAAGTGTTTTGACTTAAAGATTCAAACTTTCGTTTCGTGGTAATACGTGAAGAATCTGTTTGCTGTGTTGAGTCGACGAGATCTGTTTTGGAGGAACTTGTTGGTTTCATGATGTTGTGTACATGATTATAACATTGAAAATTATCATCAGGGTTTCTCGTTTTGTTCAATACAGAAGATTTGTGGTCTGTTGCATTTATATGATTTTTTTCTTCGTAAACTAACTTCTTTGTTGCAGCGTAATTCTGTTTACTATCCTCTATATGAACTTGGCCTTCAGCTATGACTGAGTTCATTATTTCTTGACCTTTTCTTTGTCTATCAACGATGACAGATTCTGTTATTATTCCAAGGCTATCTGTAACAACCTCTGTTTTTTTGTCTTCAGCTACGACAGTTTTTAACATTTTTCGGTCTCCACCTCTTTCAGCCTCGGTTTTCTGAGCTTTATCTATCCTCGGGTCAAAAATTATTGTAGCCTTTTTATTTTTATTATCTTTAACTTTGTTAGAGCCATTTTGAACTTTGGTGATCACTGTTCTTTGATTTCTTGTATATTCCTTGGTTTGGACTTCAAATTTGACACTGTCTTTTTTTTTATCTTCAGCTGCAACAGCTTTCAGTTCCTTATCTTGAACTATGACTGACCCTGTAAGTTTTTTATTAACGCAGACATCCTCCCAAGCACTTCTGCTATCCATTGGACACTGGATATAACTATGTTGAGCTTTTGGGTCCTCCACAGCTTTGGAAATACCTACTTCAGCTGTAGACATTTGTATATCTCCATAGTGAAGCGATAAGTCTGGAAATACAATTGTTTCCTCTCCAAGAGAGCCCTCTTCCTCTGTTTTGATACACTCACTATGCTCTTTAGGTTTTAAAAAGCGAGAACAAAGCCTATTTGGACGACAGAACATTTCTACTGAGTTTTCTCTTTCGTTCCGAAACCAGACGCTATTACTTGGATCGTTAGTGACAGAAAAAAATTGCGTAACATTATTTTCATTTGTGTTTTCTAGAAATGTCTTTGGTTGTGTTGTCTTTTTGTCAACACTTTTATTACACTTTGTTGTCGATTTCATAAACTTTAAGTCAATATCGTTACTCGATTTTGCCGCTGATCTCTTTAACCGATCACTACTAAAATCATTGCAATTCCCCATTAAATATAGTGGTTTCGTACTCGCGTTCGTGTTAAAAATCTCCGTTGATTTCCCATTATTCATACCAACACCATCTCTCGATGTGGTAAGTGAATTCACGGTCTTGCTACGGCTACATCCTCGCTGCTGTTTCACGTCTACACATTTAACAGCTTTCTCTGGCGATTTCACCACCTTCACGCTATCACTTCCACCTGAGTTATCAAATGAAGCAATGTACTCAGTAACGCTATATTCACTAGATTTCTCTAAATATTTCATTGGTTCCTTGTCAGTGTATTTGCAACGTTTTTCTTGTGATTTCGGAAAACCTACATCTGCAAATTCGTTTGATGACACAATTGATTTTAATGTTTGATCACTGTAATTTTCCTGTTGTTTAACAACTTCTGTATTAGCTTGGCTATTAGGTTTTTCAAGACGTTTTTTCAGTTTAGTAGAAGTACGTTCGCTAGCCATCTCTGTTGGTTCTATCGAAATCACGTTATCACATTCCTTAAATGCAATATACTCGCCTGAAAAATTACCTGCACGACCAGCACAATTTATTGATGCTGCTAATTTCGTAACATCAAATTCATCACATTTCTCTACCGAATTTTCAAGCTCTATATCATGGTTTTTACTACAAGTGTTCAGTTTTTCACTATTTTTATTTTGGGTAGTTAATTGTATCATTTTTTCACTACAATATATATTAGACTTACAAAAGTCTTCTGACGGTTTGATACTACATTCTCCCTCGAAATTGTCTAACGTAATGTCTGGTAAGTCCCTACCCTTGTTTATTATTCTAGGCGAAACATCCACAAACTTATCACATTCAAAAGATTTATTTTCAACAAATTCCATCTTGATAGTATTGTTAAACGCACCGTGTTGGGTAGCGAAATAATCTATACCTGTAAAATAATCAGAATTACCTCTACATTCAGCGAAGTCTGTAGCATTGGGGTGAAAAGGAAGGAAAGACCCTTTGATACGATTTATATCATTTTCACCTAATTCAGTCTCATTTGTTTTCTCACCACCAGGGTGTAACAGACGATGGTCCCCGTTAGTTGAGTTAAACAATTGCTGGCTGAGAGAAGGAATTAGATCAAGGTTTCCAGTATTTTGTGTTTTTTCCAATAGTGAATGTGATAAATGTATTGGTCGAAGATCAAATTCTTTTTTCTTCTTACATATCAAAGCTGTACATTTGGGTATATCTGTTTGGCAAGTAACAGTGGCATCCATGTTCTTGATAAAGTACTGGCTAACATCCTCGTTAAGTGCATTTAAACAAGGCTCCTTTTTTTCACTATCATAATGTAAAATTCTACCCTTTTCGTTGAAATTAAATACATGTTTTGAATGTGTATTATTGATTATGAAGTTTTTTTCAGCTGTAAGTTCGGGTGAAGAAAACATGTGTACTTTTTCGACAAAGGAACCTTTCTGACTTGATGTGTAGCTGTTAGGTGTGGTTTCATGGTTAATCAATGAACAAGGGTCCATCTCCATGGCACCTTTGATAATATCTAAATGAGAATAATTTTGTTCTACATCTAATTTCAAATTATATAGTATTGTAGTACCTGAAGAATTCGTACTCAGTTCAGAGGCAGAAAGGGATGGTGAAGAGTCTGAACGGCTTCCAGAACTATCATGTAACGTTAAAGGAGAAGCTTCTTTATATCGGCTGCCACTTTCTTTCTGTTCTTTTCGCACCATCAGGGCTTCAAGTGCACCATCAGGGCTTCGTTGGATGACCGAAATGATGGACTCCTCGCTGTCAATACTCGATTCACTTTGAACTTCGCTATTGTTCCTGGCTATAACTGACACTATAGACTCATCACTGTCCGCACTGTTGTCGCTCTTTATGCTCTCCCTTCTGCTTGGACTATATGGGAATTCTCGAGCTAACGAAGCTGACGTGTCACCGACAGGATTCCAGTTGCTAGCTGCGTCCACACTCACGCTACGTCTCACTTGCCCTTTCTTTATCCTAGAGACACACGTGTTGTTAGACTGATGAGCTTTTAAACTGAGTGGAGGGGAAGTGTCTTCCCCTTCTTCCCACCCCATCTCACAGAATCCATACCTCAGAAACTTCATTCCACAAACATAACTATCATTGTTTGGTCGATTGGCTTTAAAGCAATTATTAGTAACAGCCAAATGATTTTCAGGTACCCACAAAATTTCGGTGCTTCTTAGCGTGTGAAGTTCGGGCATAGAATAATAGGAAGATATTCGACTTTCCATTTTAACCTGCTCAACTTCAAATGTTTCTCCTCCCGAATTTATTATGTTTTGTCTTTTTTCAAAATTCAAATCTTTAGCAGTCGTAACTTTGTTTTGGCAGCTTTCACTGTTTTCTTGACTTTGAACAGTTTGTAAATTTGTTTTCGGAAAAAGTAAATTGCTTTCTATCTTTTTTTCCTGCAGTTTTTGTACTGTATAGATGTCGTTGACTATGTTGTGAAGAATATTAACATTTTCTGGGTATATTAAGGAAGAGTTTTTTACCTGGTTAGGAGCAAACTCTGAGTAAAGTTCAGGAATCACATTTTTAGATATTTCTTTGCCCTCCGTATTTTCAATGTCATGCTTGGTTTTAACGTTAAGTATATTGTTACCGTTAACAATATCTGAAGGTGCCAGTTTAGTCATAGATATCATATCCTTTGTTACCAGTGATTCTTTTAGTTTTTCTTTGTTAATTTTGATTTCATTCAAGTTGTTAGTTCCAATATCCAATAGACGTTTCAAACAATCAAACTGCGTAACACAGGACATAGAAGACCTAGAGCGTACTAAGCCATTCTTTGTTACAGCTTTCACAAGATACTCCCTTGGATCACTTATTATAGAGATTCTCTTCTGCATATCCTTCATAATTTCCTTGTCTGAAGACCGCCTGATGCGGAAGAAACTCGGTATGATTCCTAGTATATCAGACAGAGACCACTTTTTGTCTTCCTTCTTTTTCATAGATTCTTTCTCATCCTCTGTAGACTCATTTTTATTAATATTGTCTTTATCTAAGTGACGTAGTTCTATGAACATGTTGCCAGGGTCTTCAAAATCCAGGCTTTGATCCCTGTGCAGTTCCTGCTGGGACTGTTGAGTAGATGGGTTAAGCAAATTACTGGGTTTCATACTTTCAGCAAACAATGGACGTCGGATAGAGCTGTAGAAGTGCGGCTTTGAAGTATCCCGTCCAGAAGGTGAAGTGGATGCCGCAAGTCTCATAAAGACACGTCGTATAAAACTGTAACACGTCTCATTGGGGCTGGGTAGTTCTGAGTTGCTGAGACTGCTTTTGTGACAAGGAAGATCACTTTTTTGTTTTCTGTACTGACTGGCAATAGTCTTGAGCACGTTTGTTTGGGTAGAAACATGTTTAGGGTGATTCTCAAGGTTTGAGGGTGACAAGTAAGTGTTGCAAAGCAAAAGGTCATCGTCACTAGTATCAATACTTGTGAATACCCTTTCTGCTGACGAACCACAATCTACAAGAACGCATAAAATACTAGGTTAACTTCAAAGTTATTAACACTAAAAATCACCAATCTTTTGAACTAACACGTACATTTACATGATAATTTGTGGTCAATCTGTTGAGAAAGGTTAATGTAGAAGTGTCATGTTTACAGTCAAGTAATAACACTCTTCACTGTAATTTTACATGACATCACAATATAACTTGTTACGTAATCTCATTAAATGTGAAGGGTTATCTCTAATATTAATAGGATGTTATTCAGTGAAAACAATATGCTGTGAAACTTTGAAGACGAAATAAAGAAATAAGCTGTAAATTGAGTACGACTTACGAACCGCTAGTTATCCTTAGGAATCATTCATTTAGTAATTTTATTTCAGCATCAAATCAAAGTTACGTGATGTCAAAACTTAGAATAACCTTTAACATAATCCTGGTAAAAAATCCCTATTTTATTAAAGGATTCTCAAAATATCATACAAAAACAATACTCGGACAAAAAAATACACAAAGATCACATATATGAAGTAACACAATAGAAAATATTTGATGATAAAGCGATCTTATTATTGGCCATGCTGCATTCCTATGACACCGTTTACTAGATAAATGTATGAAACTAATCTAGTGAAATACATCTACATTATAATGAAGAATCACTAAGCACACACACTACATAAATCATTTCATCTTAGCAGCTAAGGGCAGTAATAAAGACAACGATAGGCAAACTGTATATTTCAATCTGATTATGATTGATCAGAATATGATAGATGTATTGCACTCTTGGATAGCTTCATTAACTTAATAATTTTTCCAAGCGTTTTTTGCAGGACAATATATCTTATTAATGTCTATCTTTTATTTCTCAATTCGTAATTTAAAGTTATTTTTTAAATTACTTTAAGTTTACATGATTTAGAAAGTCCATTTTCTGAAAGAGTAAGGTCCGGTAACTTTGTTGGAAGTTACCAACCTGCTATATGGTTACAGGATCTTCTCTTTGATAAGAACTAGCCATCAGTTATAGAGTTTCTAACTGTTTCTTTTCATTGATTAGGGCTGACTATTTGTTTTAAAGTTGCAGGATGATCTCTTTCATTGATAAGAACTGACCAATTGTCATTAAGTTGCGCCACCTACACAACTAGTCTATTATCATCCATACTATATTGCTGCCACACAACTACAGCCATAAGAGTTAAGTTCCAGCGAATATATCAGTGTGATTCAAAGTTTCGTATTGCTCATCGATTGTGAGCTACAATCTTCAACAAAAGATATGGGTTAAAAATGTAACGTTATAATATAACCAACTCACCATAGAGAGCTAATCGCTGAGTATAAATCTAACTTTACATCATAAAACAACTTACCATAAACGGCTAAACGCTGAATACAAATGTAACTTTACATCATAAAACAACTTAACATAGAGGGCTAATCGCTGAAAACAAATGTAACTTTAGACCATAAAACAACTTAACATAGAGGGCAAATCGGTGAATGCAATGTAACAAAAACTCGCCACAGAGGTCACGTTGTACAAAAATAATTCGGAAAAAATCAGAGTTTATTGTTTATTTTGCAAGACAGTTAAGATAAAAATTATCAAACTCACCTTCACTGACGTTATGTGCAGGTTGATGCCAAGGCACTAACAAGTCCTGAGAGTTGAACTAAGAGAAAATCTTGTTCTATTGTTAATATCCCATATCAAACATTAAAGTTTAGGTTCTTATTTTATTCGTTATGCATCATTTACTTTTGTATATGTATATTTTTAAAATTTATTTTTCGGTTAATATGACATTTAGTACTTAAACGAATTTTACGTAGTTTCGTGTCTTTTATTTTAACTTTTGAATTTCTTTTTTCGTTTTCAGTAACTTCTATAAGAGATTTACACAAAACACTAAAATATGTAAATGAAGATACCCAATAAACATGGACCCAATTTTAATTGTTCAACACTATTAACTTGTTGTATTGATCGACAAATCAAATTATTGAGAAAAGCTATAAAACTTTCTCTGCCAATCACCGAACATTAACATTCAACCGTGAGTAAAATATCAAAACAGTAATTTACATGATAACTTTACATTAGGCTCTGAGTAGAAATAAAAATGCTTGTTTATTGTTACTTTTTATGGTAAAAAATTGAAATTACATAGAAATGCTTACTTTACAATGATTTTGCTCCATAGCCCATACAGTTATTATTACTTTGCCTCCTATCCTCAAAATTCGCGCTAGTTCCTGAAGCGCCCTCACGCGGCGTTCAGTAGTAGCAAAATGGTGTATTACAGCTATTGATATAGCTGCATCGAAGCTCTCGTCACGAAATGGTAGCTGATGGTTGTCGCACGTGAGTGCTTCCCGCCCTCTTTTCTTAGCGGTTTGAAGCATGGAGTTGCAGTGATCTACACCCACTTTGTACACCTCAGAATTTAGGTCTAGATATTTTCCATTTCCACAACCTGTGAGTAAATGACAGTTTTTCACTAAACTGCTAAATCTGAATCAACAACTTCCCTATACCTCATAACAAGCTAACTCAAACTATACTTCAAAAATACTTCATATATCATGTGCGACGCCCATGTCTTATAGGAGCGTCTCTTATTGATTAAAAAATACAGCATACCATTCATTATGTATTTCGAATTATCATAATGATTTTTTATACATATTTGTATTTTTAAAGGTACGTTCTAAACCATACATACACACAACTTTGTTCATATCTTGAAGTATGCACGTGGCCTGGCTTTATTTTGATACGATATTCGTACTTCTACCATACAGAGGCAAAGACATGTCCGAACACTGGCAAACTCAATAAACTCAGTAGATATGGGTATGTAGGGTACTATAAAGAAAATCCCTTATTTATAATTATTGTATCTTAAAAACTACTTGTTCTAGGATAACAAAATTTTACTAGAGGCATGTTGAGGATCATGAATTTTATTCAGGAAAGCTTGGGCGTTTCAAAAACCTTTACAGACGATGTTCAATGTGCCTTTCATCTTTCTCAATCACCATATCAAACCTATTCGTATTATCGAAAGATGGAGAAACAAAGACAAGAAATAGAAGCAAGGCTAGCTTGCGAGAAAAGAGGTTTGGATATACAATGTAAAGCGGTTTTGAAACACCTTGATACTGTTTCTAAACTTTCCTGAATAGAACTTATGGTTCTCAATGTGTCTTCAGTGAATCCTTGTTCCCCAAGGATAAGTAGTTTTTAAGATAAAATCATTTTAAATGTAAGATTTTCTTTATAATGGACACTGTGTGTCATTCAAGTAATAATTTGAAAACAAAACATATTAACTCTTGTATAAGATTTCTTGAATAATTCACTTCAAAGGACCAATTTAAAACTGTATTTTATTTTATTTTTGCAAAATGATTCTAAAACCACAACAACTGATCTCCCCTTACAATGCCTTCTTTTACTTGATGAGAATTATTAGTCTATTTTCTTATAAATTGAAGACACCGAATACTCCTACCAAGAAAGTATCAAAGTTCTGTGCTTAAAGCGTCGAACGCGATTATCTTCTGTGATAAAAACGTCACGTCACTTTTAACTATGCTTATTATTCTATAGAAGTTATCTAAAATTCACAGACTTGGATAATTGTCAGTATTTAAAATATAATTCTTTCGCCAATTGTCAAAATAAAAGGCTTTTACTTATACTTCTTAATAGTATAGATATATCCTGTGTTAATGTTGGGCTTAGGATTCTTCTACAGTAGGTGTCTATGACTTGTTAACGATAAATTCAACGATGAATAAACAGCACGCACTTCACTTGTTTTCAAATAATATATATCTATCTATTCGGAACAAGTTAAACTATGTACAACAAATTCTTCAACACTATAGAGATTATAGGCATATTATCAACACGATATATATATAGTTCTCTTCTTCTTGTCAATAGTCCACTTAGCTCTATTCAATTGCTTTAGAATTTCAGTCAACAAGCTGAACTATCTTCTCTATTACTATCGCACTAGTATTCTGTGTGTGTTTCACTTAAAATTGTGGCGCGAGTTACCGTAATCATTTAGTCTTCTTTCTTCTAAATATGCTCTGTTCCTTTTGTCAAAGTGCACTCAAGCTGATTCAATTACTTTAGAACCATGTTTTGACGGAATAATTATTCTTTTTATTTACTTTCTACTGTTAGATTTACTCAAACATATTAAACGTTAAGCCTATGTTAATTGTTAAGCATATCACTTCTAGGAGAGTTCACTTCACGCCGAACTTTTCCTTGCCCGTAACTTTACTCTCTTCTACTCTTGTTTGTCTTCTGTTTTTGCTCGTCTCTATCACTTAATCGTCTGCCCGCCTTCTAGAAATTTCTGTATTCTCGACGTCAGTTTATTGCACGCGACGTTCGATATTCTCAACATCAATGGATTATAAACACAACTTCCTTCAATCGTCTGCTTATAACTCTCATTATAACAAAACTAAACAATAATAAAATATTCACTCACAAAATAAGAAACTCTAATAATACCAATAATGTTTGCGTTAATATGTTTTATAGGAAGGAAACCCAATGGTTATATTCCAGCATCCTCCTCAAATACACCATATATACAGTTTAATCTTTAATACACTACTACGCGGATTTATTTTTCCTGTATTGTTGAAAATGACCATTTAAGTGACAATGTGGAAAGTCTTGTTTCTGCCAGACAAAAGGTTAACATTTCCACCGTGAGAGATACCTGGAAAGAATCAAACAGCTTTATCATGTACTAGGAAAACACTGGCTTCATAAATTACTCGTTTGATACAAACATTTTTTTTTCTGGAGATGCTCAAACTAATCTGTTTCATTTTCGGGTGTAACAAACCCCGTTCTATAAAGCAACATACTGTTAAGCCTTTTGAACTTTCAAGTGATGTCAAGTGAAGTAACCAAGGCATGACAAAAACATGCATTATCTACACACTACTTTAAAAAGTTGGTAACATCGTGTTCATATAATCGTAGTATGTGCATGCACATGTAGTTATATTAAATATGCATGCACATGTAAGATGATTCTCACAGCATCGTTTATTGCTGCTAGAAATACCGACAATTTTAAAGCTCATTCTGAAAATACACCAGTAAATATTGTTACCGTGAAAGTGAAATGATATATAGGAGTGTAAAAGGCACATTTCTTCAGCAGCTTAGTTAAAATCACACGATACAATATAATTCCGGAATATTTATATAAAAGCCCAAGCCGTTTAATTGGAGTTCTTGTTGTTTCGTTTGACGCAAAGCTGTACAGCAAGCTATAAGCGCTGTGTCAGTTGCAGGGATCGAACCATGATTATTAGCGTTTTAAGCCCGGAAGTATACCACTGAGCCAACGGGGGACTGGTCAGTTAAGAGTTATTACTTACAGTTTTTTAAAGTTAAAGAAAGATCGATTATGTTGTGCTCATCTCTACCCTATTTGGTATTCGTTAACTTACTCTTCACTCTTGATTGTAATTGAATAAAAATGAATTACCGCATTTGTTCAGAAAATGAAACTGTATTTAAGTAGAAAAATAATACTCGATTTGAGTTGAATTCATAAACTACAATTTCAATAAAAGGTAAGAAAGAAAAATACAGTAAGCTGAAAGGTAACATTAATTGACTTAAACAACGAAGCAAAACATCAGCAGAACTTAATAAGCAAGTCTTAACCCTTTAAAGTTGGAACAGAAATTATTGAGAGCACCAAAGCCGCTTTCACAATCCACAAATTACACGAACTCTATCGCGTGGGCTGGGCGTGGCCCCTAGTAGTTAGCGTGCCGGACAGTAGATCTGATGGTCCGAAGTTTACGTCAAAAAGTTGTCTCAAAATTGCGCTCCGCACTTTGGGATCGTGAATGCGTTAAAAGACTGACCTGTCAAATTCTACTATTTGATTAATATAGCCCAAGAGTTGGCGGTGGGTGCTGTTGGCTAGCGGTCTTCCCTCTAATCTATCAATTCAGAATCAGGAACGGCTAGCATAGGTAGTCCTTGTGTATATTTGTGCGTATATCAGAAACAAACAAACAGACTATAGCAAAGCTGGCCAATCACGTGGTGGATTACAGAAACTTAAAAGTATCGCTACTCCAGGTGAAAGTAGTAAAATAGCCTCACACTCATTGTGATATTGAACACAATACATCTATCCCATGAAAGATGTAACATTCTTGATATATTCATGCTGCTAAGAGTAAGATCGTCTAGGAATAAATTAGCACACGACTAAATATTTCATAACAATTAAGATATCGCGTTTCTATGGCACATATAACTACTAGGGGAAAAACTCATACTTCGCATACAAAACATTTTTTGGTTGTGGTATTTTATATTTGAATGCACAAAGTTTATAAAATGTAAAGGCAGTGCTGTGTATTTAAAGTAATTAAACCAGCTAAGAGTGTCTTGTTTTCCCTTAACGAGTCTATAAATTTTATTGTTCGACGTTAATCTGTAATATTAATGTTATAAAATATCTTCCATGTTTATTCTCGAAGGACATCAAAGTGTTCAGGGTATTGCAGACATATTGGCTGTATGTGAATGCTCAGTTAGGCGCTAAAACAAATCTCAGATTGATTCGCTAAACCTACCCGAAGCTCTTTGATAATCTTGAAGCAGCTTTGAAAGGGAGAAATGTTTCGGATAAATTACTTTTGTTTTCGTTGGTTAGGAGGTATTCTTGTGGATTAAAAAAAGGAAATTGTAGCATTAAAACATTTCAGGGAATATTTCCTCACATGTATGAAAGTAGTAAAAATAACGTATCTTTTGTCTTCCCTACCAACTTCTATCTTGAGTAAATTCGTATAAGAAAATATTTAAATATTTAGTGACTTTTATACATTGTTCCAAGTCAAATAGAAGAGATAAAATTTACTTTCTGTTGTTATCATCTTATCATTGTTGGGGAAATACTTTACGTTCGTAATTGCATGTTTTAAAAACAGTTATTCCCTTAATTACAACATTTTTCGATGTTTTTTAAATATCCCTGAAGCTGCTAATACGGCAGGTTATGATACCAGGGTCTACAGAAGGAAAATAGACAACTTGAAAAATTAAAAAGAATGCTTATTGATAGGAAATTTTTCAAAATCTAGCAGAAAAAGTATACTACATATAAGTGAGATTTATTTTAAGATCAACATACTGTTACGTCTCTGTGTTCGTTTGTTAATTTTCCGCAGAAATTGTTTCCGAAGAACTTCAGCGATACAAGTCCTTTCTTAAATAAAACTAATTTATTCTTTTTCAATTCAACTTTGCAGTACACTTAATTTCCATAGTCATTTTAACTTAAAGACAATCTAGAATTCACAACGAATGATTCACGCACTTTACTTACTACCGCGCTTGACTCAATTGTCCGTCTCTATCTCTGCCTGTCTGCAATTAAATTCCGATTAATTGTCTCGCTTTATCTGGCGCACTTATATACAAGAATAGAGGGCGCGTAGAAAAGACTAGAGTTGCGACGAACAGACATGATCCTTCTAGAATCTCATGACGTGTTACTAGAGTCACGTGACTTCCGCTGTCGTAACAATACTTTTTAACTTGAGAAAATGTATTAAATAAAACAAACAAGCAACAGCACTATAAAGCTTTGCTCGTTTAATAATAAAAAAACAGTGGTGGAAATGCAGTGAGGGTATCTCTATAAATAAGAAACTAAACAATACAATCATCATTTCAGCTTTTTCTGTACAGCTAGCTAGCTGTTAGATTTTAAACATGGATTTTAGAGAAGCATAAGCAAAAAAGACAAGTAAAATCTTATTTGTATTTATGTGCTAATGCTGGTTGGGAGGAGTTATTTTCGGTTATAGGGTTTGAAGTTATTTGGGATCTATAATTTTTTTAGAAATTTCATGCCTTATCGGTAACCGTTTATAGATGTTTAGGTCGTGCTTTGGCTTGTTATGTTACACAGCTTGAATCACTTTCGTGGAACAGTAAAATTAGTTATAATCAAATAATTTTGAACACTTCAATATTTTTTACAGCTTACTAAAATAGACACGGTTAACTTTGCGTGTTTTATGAAAATTTATAAAAATTAGTTTCAAAGGATTCTTTGAAAAGCCATCTCGAAGAGAAGAACGTCAGTTGATGGATCGATGAACTATGGCAAATCGAACGATACACACAGCTCACGCTACAAACACGCTCATTCATGGCCCGACTCTACTTTACTGCCTTTACATTAAATCTAGCCTGACTAAAGTTTGACGTAAGATGACGCACGTCTACAAAAAACTATTCGTCACTCAACTTTTACGGAGTTGTTTCTTAAGTAAAAACATGCACCGCATTCAATAGAGGTCAATAATTATCGGTATTATCGGTTAACATTTTGACATTTGTAACAGAAAAAAACAAAAAAACAATTGTGCCTGCAGCGCTGACAGATTCCAAGCACTGTTGCTTGCCAAGCATAACATACGAGCAACAAACACAATACTTTTGAAAACTTCTTCTGGTAACATCTAGAGCATTTCTTCTTAGCAAGTCTGTTGTTGCATCTCTTGTAATTAGAATTATGAAAGCGCTAACCCCAACGATGTTGCTTTTGATCGAACACTCTTCTCTCAGAGGGTGAACTTGATGATTAGGAGGAAAGAGATCCTGTTACTTTCAGAAGTATCATAAAGTGACTCAACTCATGCTTAACGTCTCTAAATTGGATGCCATAAAAATAGATTAGTTTTTTATATTAACTTAAAGCCGTAAATAATTGGCTAATGAAGGGTAAAAACAACAATAATTCGATTAGACTTAAAAGGGGCTAATCGCGATTTTGGAAGAACAAGCCAGACCTCTGTAGGCAGTGGATCCCATGGTGTTACGAGCCTGTTGTTGATGGATTACTGTTACCCCTTAAAAACAACATATGATGCGTTTGCTTCAAAAACAACTATGTGATGTAATAATTAAAACATAACTACTCAAAATATATTATTGAAAGCTTATAATCTATGTGTCATATTTCCATATAGGTTGAAATAAAAATTTTGATTACTAATGAAATTTTTTCTTTTTGAAAACAAATTGACACCAAATCACGTTCTACTTCCCGCAATCTGCTGTCATTTAAAAAGGCTACTCCTTATCAACATGATGAATGTATAATTACCATAACCATTAAAAAGATCATTGCTTTGGGAACGAAAGTGAGATTTGATAAGCTGCACATGTCCATTCGTACGTTAGAGAAAAGTAAACTTAACACCATAAAGAGATCTCATTAAATTAACAACTTATAATTAAATCGTTTTAGAGATATACATACATACAGATGCAAATTCGTGTCCTTTTTATTTTTCTGTACACGGTAATTCAACTTTTAGAATGTATATAAATATATGTAAATAAATACTAGAATTTTACCATGATACAGTAATGTTCTATGAGATTAATAAATCACCTATTTGAACACAAAAAATATCCAACATACCAATATCTGCTACCAAACTCCCGGGTTCTAAGTCCAAAATAAACTGTTTCACATGCGGCCAAGGCATATATCGGGAATCAGTAAAATGTGGCGCAATTTGATCATATACGTCGTGAACATATGCCTTTTCTAGTGCTATAGATCGGGCTTGCCTTTCTTCTTGCGCCGAGTCCGTCTCTTTCTCAGGCATACAAGGAGTCATTTGATCGGTGACGGTAGAGGGCGCTACCTGTACCAGTTACATAATAAAAGTAAAACAAAAGAGGAAAAATTCTTCAGATGTATAAATTATAAGAAGCTCATAACTAGTAGTTGTGGAATTCATAGCATACCCACCTTGAGTTAAAGTTGTGAAAGTCATAGCATAGCCACCTTGAATTAAAGTTGTGACATTCATAGCATACCCACCTTGAATTAAAGTTGTGACATTCATAGCATACCCACCTTGAATTAAAGTTGTGAAATTCATAGCATACCCACCTTGAATTAAAGTTGTGAAATTCATAGCATACCCACCTTGAATTAAAGTTGTGAAATTCAGAGCATTTGAATGGGATTTTATTCAGGTATATTAAAATTTTAATAACAATGAAAAGTTTGAATATCACAACATTTTTATTTATATCTTTAAACTTTTAATTCAAATGTATAAATTCCTAACTTAGAGGTTTCCTAATGTGATTTTTAACTATCTTCCAAAAATAACAAAAAGAAACTTGAGTTGAATATAATAACAAAAAAGGTAGCTATAAGTTCTGATTTCTCTTACACCATAAAATATAATCAGTTTTCTATTCTCTCATACAGGGCCGGGCGTGGGTTAGTAGTTAGCGTGTTCGGATTGTGAATCTTAGAATTCACGGTTCGAAACCCGTTGCCGCAAAAATGTGTTCTTGCCATAGAAAACATATTAGGAATGCCATTTTTCAATATAGTTTAGGAATTGCGCTAAACTTAATGCGGCCAAATTTTCCTCAGAGTTTTTCTTGTGGTTATTTCAGAAATACAAACACCACATCGAGTATTAAACCTTTTCAGACATTTCAACTGAACAAAGTAACTAATTAAGAACATAACTTCAGAAATGAGGAACATGTTTCAAAGAATCTACGTTATGTAAAACATTTACCTCACAGTCAGTCTGATAAAAACAAACAAAAAGATGAACGGAAAAATATACATTTCTGCTATACGACACTCTGACTGTAGCCTTACATAAACATTATTTAAGTAATAAACGCTAATAACAAAAATTTCTTTTTAAACATAAAACGGTTTTTCAGTGGAACTTATCCAGTTGCCTTAAATGATAATTAAAGATTCCTCTGTAAAAATATACCTTGTTTTCGACGTCGCAAGAATCCTGTTTCACTGTACCCCCAGTCTTTTACAGCTTTTAAACTAGGCAAAGTCAATCCCGTTGGTGACTTTTAAGTGCGGTCAGAGTAGAATTGTTTAAGAACATTCTGCTTGGATGTTCATTCTAACACTGAACGGATTAGAGTGAGAAGACAGAAGCCGGTAACAGCGCTTGGCTTACGTCAATGAGACAGAAGCCGGTAACAGCGCTTGGCTTGCGTCAATGAGACAGAAGCCGGTAACAGCTCTTGGCTTGCGTCAATGAGACAGAAGCCGTAACAGCGCTTGGCTTGCGTCAGTGAGACAGAAGCCGGTAACAGCGCTTGGCTTGCGTCAATGAGACAGAAGCCGGTAACAGCGCTTGGCTTGCGTCAATGAGCCAGAAGCCGGTAACAGCGCTTGGCTTGCGTCAATGAGACAGAAGCCGGTAACAGCGCTTGGCTTGCGTCAATGAGCCAGAAGCCGGTAACAGCGCTTGGCTTGCGTCAATGACATACTTTCGTTTACATCCACTCCGATTTACGTCACCACGTGTCCGCGAGACTGGAGGCTGTGCTCTGTGCAGTATGAGAACAGATGACGTCACCGTCTCGCCATCGATTGATGTCGAACTGATGGGGATACATGGATGATATTATCTTCATTTACTTGTTTTCGAAACTAAGATTTCTCCAAGAAGCAGTGATTGCGTGGGAGGGAGATGTTTATTACTGTACGTGGGAGTTTTAGATATGCTTTCTAAGTGTAGAACCTTCAGTTACAACATTTTACTACCCACAGGAGTCGCTTAGATACAAGAATACAGTGAATAAAATTTTAATATTAATAATCTAATGATACAATTATTAATGCATGAATGTAAAGTCAATTTCTGGAAACATAAGTAAATTGTATATTTTATACTTTCGCTGCCAGGATATCGATAAGTCATATTTAAAAAGGGCAAAGTGTGTTTAATATGACTAACCTTTTTTAGTTTGTTGCATCTATATAAATATCATTATTTATCGTTTCATGTATGCGATTATCATCCGTATCATACAAAAAAAGGCATTTCTACAGGACTAGAATAGTTAAACTGAATCATGAGGTTTTGATACAAGTTTTGTAATTAAACATAGCTATCTAGGTTATTAGTTCATGGCAATACTCAAACCAATCAGGCTATCTATGGCACTTATTTAACAGGATACTTAAATATATATATATGTGTGTGTGTGCGTGACGTGCGAAACCGTAAAAGTGAAAAAAATATTTAAAAATAGGAAATCTTGCTTCATTTTATTTCAAAACTCAATGAAATGCACTACGTAAAATTTGTTAACTACAATTAAACCCAAACCCAAAATAACGAGCTGCAAAAAAACATGTTTACGTAAACTATATGAAATCCTTAACATTTGTAATGTTTCATACATTAACATCTACTGCAGTGAATTGTCAAGTTTCCAATAAATTTATTATTTCATAGTTTTGGAAAGGTTTAAACAACTTATTTGAGTCTATAAGAGGCCTGGTGGTTAAGGCTCTTGACTCGCAGTTTGTGGGTCACGGGTTCGAATCCCCATCATCAAACATACTCATTCATTCAGCCGTAAGGGCTATATTATGTTGCTGTCAATCCTACTACTCTTTGGTAAAAGAGTAGCCTAAGAGTTGGCGATGGGTGGTGTTGACTAGCTACCTTCCCTCTAGACTATCACTACTAAATTAGGGATGGCTAGCGCATATAGCCCTCATGTAGCTTTGCGTAAAATTCAAAACAAAACAAACAAACTGTAAAGAACATAGAAAACCACTGTCGCTACTGATAGCCCTCATGTAGCTTTGCGTAAAATTCAAAACAAAACAAACAAACTGTAAAGAACATAGAAAACCACTGTCGCTACTTCTTTGTGTGAAATCTTTAAAACTGAAATTCTAATTGGTTAATACATTATTTGGAACAATATTTATAGCTAATTTAAAAAAAAATCTTTGAAAATTCATCATGATTTACGAATAGAATGTAAAAACAAACTTAATCGAGTTGGTAACTGGCTCGTACGATAATACGACACTGACATACAAAGATAATGACATTTGTTTAATAATGAAGATGAAGACGGTTAATAAAACATAAAATATTTTATTTACAAGGTTCGAACGTTTCGGAATAACCTATTCCATCTTCAGCGAAATCTGAAAATTGTGTTACAAAGATGATTATTACTAAAATTATAATATAATGACATAATCATTAGAAGGTAAAAGAACTTTTAATGGCCTCTATACTAATTTCAATAGTTTTATTCCCAAATTTTTCAAACGTGCCCCTAGTAGCACAGCGGTATGCCTGCGGACTTACAACGCTAGAATCCGGGTTTCGATACCCATGGTGAGCAGAGCACAGATAGCCCATTGTGTAGCTTTGTGCTTAATTACAAACAAACAAACAATCTTCAAACGTAATCTGGCTATACCATTGTTAAATAGAAATTTTGATCTTTGTTCTAATTATTTTATTTTACACGAAGAAATTACCCTTTTACATAAACACATGTTAAATAATGGCTATCCGATTGATTTTCTATCGAAGATTACACGCAATTTCCTAAACAACAAAAACCAACCACCAGCCAATGTACATACCGTCCCAAATTTCCCCTCATTACCTTCCTTCCTTTTATGGGTTCGCAATCTCTACTAACTAAAAAACAACTCTATTCCTTAATAAAAAACTTCTATCCTCAAATTCAGCTTAGAATAACATACAGACCTAGCCTTCACATTTTCAGCACAAAGATCAAATGCCTAAACTTCTACGTTCATGGCTCATGTATAAATATACGTTTAGTGACTGTAAGGTCATGTACATTGGCAAAACGAAATGCCACTTAATAATTAGTCTGTGAACATTTATGAGTATCTAACAGAATCAACCATCCACTACATTAAACACATATTTCAGTACAAATATCAAGTATCTAAATGGCTCATGTATAAATATACGTGTAGAGACTGTAAGGTCACGTACATTGGCAAAATAAAACGCCACTTAATAATTAGTCTGTGAACATTTATGAGTATCTAACAGAACCAACCATCCACTACATTAAACCCAACCACTCATCCATTTGTTCACATTCTGAAACCACAGGTCACAATATTTCATTTAACGATTTCTCTATCATCACCACAGGATCTTCAGACCTTGACCTCTACATTAAACAAAGTCTACTCATAACTAAAGACTGTCCAACCCTTAACGACTCACAAAGCTCTTTAGATCTAAAATTGTTCTAAGTTTCACACTTAACTCAGCTGTTGTATATTATGTATATATAAACATTGTTTCATCCATCCATTTACCGTTTTTCTTAATAACTAACTCAACTAATGATTACGTTATTATATTATAATTTTAGTAATAATCATCTTTGTAACACAATTTTCAGATTTCGCTGAAGATGGAATAAGTTATTCCGAAACGTTCGAACCTTGTAAATAAAATGTTTTATGGGTTATCAACCGTCTTCTTCTTCATTATTAAACTTCGGTTTCTCCAAAATGACATTAGTTGTTAATAAACTGATCATTATAAAACTTCTTATTAAGAAGCTATCAAATATTATTGACGATGCTGTTAGTTATTATAAGTATACTGAAGAATTGTAATACATAGATAATGTCAGCATTAACTACAGAATTGAAATATATGTAGATTATGATAGCCCTAAAGGCATAACTGAAATATATAAATGGTTATCAAAAACTTCTGATCAAAGCAAACTATCAACATAGTTCAAAACGAAAATCTATGGATATATATGGATAATTTCGCATACCGTTCTTACCTACAACGATAAGAATGCATTGATTTATCATCTGTGTTCCCTTGATGTTAGCGATATTTTCGGCCGTAATCCCAATTTCAGAATTGAAAGATACAAGTGATGGGAATACATTGTTAACTACAGGATTGAAATATACAAGTTTTTACAGTGCATTATTAACCACAGAATTGGAATAAACACGTTTTCATAGTGCATTATTAACTACAGAATTGGAATAAACATGTTTTTAAGGAGGATTGTTAACTATAGGTTTGAAATATACAGGTTTTTACAGTGGAAATATACAGGTCTTGACAATGCAGTGATAACTACAGAACTGAAACACAAAGGTTATAATTGACGCGCACACCTGAGAATATTCGGAAGTACTAAGTTGATACATTACCAGAACCTGTTTGAAATTGTTTGATTGATACGTACACCCTAAAATATCTAATAATGGTTCCATTTGCATTTTTGAACTAGACTTAAAAATGTAAGACGTATGACTACTAGAAATATGTTTTTATATAATTATCCAATAGTTTGTTTGTTTGTTTAAAGTTAAGCACAAAACTACACAATGGGCTATCT